TCACTCCATAGGAGGTATACACAATCACCCCATTGAAGGTATACACTATCACTCCATAGGACGTATACACTATCACCACATAAGAGGTATACACTATCACCCCATAGGAGGTATACACTATCACCCCATAGGAGGTATACACAATCACCCAATAGGAGGTATACACTATCACAACATAGGAGGTATACACTATCACTCCATAGGAGGTATACACAATCACCCCATATGAGGTATACACTATCACTCCATAGGAGGTATACATAATCACCCCATAGGAAGTATACACTATCACCCCATAGAAGGTATACACTATCACCACATAGGATGTATACACTATCACCACATAGGATGTATACACTATCACCCCATAGGACGTATACACTATCACAACATACGATGTATACACAATCACCCCATAGGAGGTATACACTATCACTCCATAGGAGGTATACACAATCACCCCATAGGAGGTATACACAATCACCCCATAGGAGGTATACACTATCACCCCATAGAAGGTATACACTATCACCACATAGGATGTATACACTATCACCCCATTTAATGTATACACTATCACCACATAGGAGGTATACACTATCACCCCATATGAGGTATACACTATCACTCCATAGGACGTATACACTATCACTCTTTAGAAGGTATACACTATCACCACATATGAGGTATACACTATCACCCCATATGAGGTATACACTATCACCCCATATGAGGTATACACTATCACCCCAGAGAAGGTATACACTATCACCACATAAGAGGTATACACTATCACCCCAGAGAAGGTATACACTATCACCACATATGAGGTATACACTATCACCCCAGAGAAGGTATACACTATCACCACATATGAGGTATACACTATCACTCCATAGGACGTATACACTATCACTCTTTAGAAGGTATACACTATCACCACATAGGGGGTATACACTATCACACCATAGGAGGTATACACTATCCCCACATAGAAGGTATACACTCTCACCACATAGGATGTATACACTATCACCACATAAGAGGTATACACTATCACCCCATATGAGGTATACACTATCACCCCAGAGAAGGTATACACTATCACCACATATGAGGTATACACTATCACCCCAGAGAAGGTATACACTATCACCACATAGAATGTATACACAATCACCACATAGGATGTATACACTATCACCCTTTAGGAGGAATACACAATCACCCCATAGGAGATATACACTATCACCCCATAGGGGGTATACACTATCATCACATAGGAGGTATACACTATCCCCACATAGAAGGTATACACTCTCACCACATAGGATGTATACACTATTACCACATAGGAGGTATACACTAATACACTATCATCCCATAGGAGGTATACACTATCCCCACATAGAAGGTATACACTCTCACCACATAGGATGTATACACTATCACCACATAGGGGGTATACACTATCACCACATAAGAGGTATACACTATCACCCCATATGAGGTATACACTATCACCCCAGAGAAGGTATACACTATCACCACATAAGAGGTATACACTATCACCCCATATGAGGTATACACTATCACTCCATAGGACGTATACACTATCACTCTTTAGAAGGTATACACTATCACCACATAGAATGTATACACAATCACCACATAGGATGTATACACTATTACCACATAGTAGGTATACACTATCACCCCATATGAGGTATACACTATCACCCCATATGAGGTATACACTATCACCCCATATGAGGTATACACTATCACTCCATAGGACGTATACACTATCACTCTTTAGAAGGTATACACTATCACCCCATAGGTATATACACAATCACCCCATAGGAGATATACACTATCACCCCATAGGTATATACACAATCACCCCATAGGAGGTATAGACTATCACCTCATAGGAGGAATACACTATCATGTATACACTATCACCACATAAGAGGTATACACTATCACCCCATAGAAGGCATACACTATCACCACATAGGAAGTATACACTATCACTCCATAGGAGGTATACACAATCGCCCTTTAGGAGGCTACACAATCACCCTATAGGAGGTATACACTATCACTCCATAGGACGTATACACTATCACTCTTTAGAAGGTATACACTATCACCCCATATGAGGTATACACTATCACCCCATAGAAGGATACACTATCACCACATAAGAGGTATACACTATCACCCCAGAGAAGGTATACACTATCACCACATAGGAGGTATACACAATCACCCCATAGGAGGTATAGACTATCACCTCATAGGAGGTATACACTATCAATTACAAAATAGTAACATTACGGGCAAACTATTTAAAGTCTTTTATAATTGATATGAAAATACCAAATCATGCGTAATTAACGGCAATGATACATCCGACATTTTCATGTGCAATGTCGGGGTAAAACAAGGAGAAAAGTTTTCGTCATTTAGTTTTCCCCCTTCCTTAACGATCTGGAGGATTTCCTCAATCAACGTAATGTTTCTTGTTTGAATGAAGTGTATGCCCTTAGTGATAAAAATGTAGGTGTGTACTTCAAATTGTTTATTATATTATATGCTGTTGATACAGTGCCTTTGTCAGAAACTCCAGATGGCCTACAAAACGCATTGAATGAATTCCAAAATTATTGTAATATATTGAAATTAACAGTTAATACACAAAACACTAAAGTTTTGATTTTTGAAAAAAGAAAGAGTAAGAGAGACAGACCATCACTTTTCTATCAATAATGAGATTTTCGAAATACAAGATTCGTACCCATATCTTGGAATAATGTTGAACTGAAACGGTGTTTTTACAAAAGTAAACTAACAGAGCAAGCAAAAAAAGCTTTATATCTTATTATATGGATGTGAAATCGAGCGGGAGCTATACAAATACAAAAAGTATCGAAAAAATACATTTACGGTTTTGTAAGAAAATTCTTAACATTCGGAGGGGCACCCCAAAGTATATGGTATATGGTGAGTTGGAAAGGTATCCCCTAGAAATAAAAATCAGTGTTAGAATAGTTATGTTCTGGCATAAGCTTATAACGGGTGGATCGAAATTATCTAGTGTAATGTATAAGTTAATGTATAATTTGCACCAGAATTCTGTGCTAAGTTTTAAATGGTTAACGTATATACGAGATATTTTAAACAATACTGGACTTAATCATTTATGGACTTTCCAAATATCATGTACAGTTAATAGACAATGCTTGAAAACATCATTAAGCAGAGATTGTGCAATCAATTCATTCGAAGTTGGTTTCATGATGTTGAAACTTCCTCGAGAAGGCAAGTTTACTCCTTATTCAAATACCAGTTTAATATTGAACCATATCTTTTAAAGCTTATTCGTAATGAACAAAAAGTAATATGTAAATTAAGAACATCAAATATAAAATTTCCTATAGAAACAGGAAGATGGAATAGAGTCCCACGCGAGGAAAGGTTATGTCCCCTATGTAATAACTGTGTTGGGGACGAATATATACCACTACTTATACCAATATACTAATGTATCTGTTGTAGCTCTTAGACAACTATATACCAAATTACTATTATGTCAACCCAACTTATATCAAAATGAAAGGAATGTGTTCAATATGTAACACGGTACTTTTAACAAAAGTAAGTAAATTTATACAAAGAGTAATGAAGCTACTTAATATCTAAAATAAGTTAGCTAAAAGAATTATTGAAATGGGTTGTTATTGTATAAATTGTATCATGTGTCATATTATGTGTGTACTATGTCCATCAATGTATACTATGTAATATCTGACCACTTGTTACGCTCGTATACGTATGGCGTGAATGTAAAATATAACTTAAACTGTCACCCCATAGGATCACCACATTGGTGTAATACATCATCCTATACTGTAGTTATATAGTATTATCCGGGTTAGTTACATGTATCTAGTATACATAGCTACTCAGCAAGGTCCTTACTTTACTCCCCGGACATACAACTATTGTCCGTAAACACTGAGAACAAGGCCACCACGGAACGTCACGCAGTCGTTTACCGATCTATTAAGGCCGTGACGTCACACACTTGTGTTCCGAAAGCTCTACCAATTAACATGTGATGCTGCTTTCACCTTCGCCCTTTTATCTCCGATCACGTGAAATGTTCTTGTAGAAAGCATGTGTAATGGACAATAGTAGGATGTGACATTTCCTCGCAGCAATATCCCACAAAGAGGTTTATAATGAGACTGTACCGCCGTGACGAAGTCAAATTAACCCAACTATTGTATGGATGGAGTGAAATTTGACCTTTGATTTTCGATGTTTATTCCAAGGGCATCACAGCTCTTTTATGCCGAACCATTGTTGTAAACAATCCTAACATAGAACACTAAGTGCCCAACACAATACAGTATCTGTGCCAGATCGCATAAGTGTTGAGAAGTGCTGAGCATTGTTGTAAACAATCCTTACATATAACACTAAGTGCCCAACACAATACAGGATTTGTGCCAGATTCCATAGTGTTGAAAAGTGCCGAACCATTGTTGTAAACAATCCTACCATAGAACACTAAGTGCCCAACCCAATCCAGGATCTGTGTCAGATAACATAGTGTTGAGAAGTGCGAACCATTGTTGTAAACAATCCTAACATAGAACGCTTAGTGCCCAACACAATACAGGATCTGTGTCAGATTACATAGTGTTGAGAAGTGCCGAACCATTGTTGTAAACAATCCTAACATAGAACACTAGGTACCCAACACAATACAGGATCTGTGTCAGATTACATAGTGTTGAGAAGTGCTAAGCATTGTTGGCTGGGCTCTGTATACTCTCTTTAACAGAGATGATAAAAAAACAGGAATATCCAAATAAAAAAGCAACTATCGTAGAGTAACACTTGATAAAGAAGAGGGCCTAGTATGTGACCCATACCTAGCATGTCTGTACCGTCACTGTGACACCTACATCATGTGTCTGTACCTTCACTGTGACACCTACATCATAAGTCTGTAACGTAACTGTGACACCTACATCATGTGTCTGTAACGTCACTGTGACACCTGCATCATGTGTCTGTACTCTCACTGTGACACCTACATCATGTGTCTGTAACGTCACTGTGACACCTGCATCATGTGTCTGTACTCTCACTGTGACACCTACATCATGTGTCTGTACCGTCACTGTGACACCTACATCACATGTCTGTACCGTCACTGTGACACCTACATCATGTGTCTGTACCTTCACTGTGACACCTACATCATAAGTCTGTAACGTAACTGTGACACCTACATCATGTGTCTGTAACGTCACTGTGACACCTACATCATATGTCTGTACCGTCACTGTGACATCTACATCACATGTCTGTACCGTCACTGTGACACCTACATCATGTGTCTATACAGTCACTGTGACACCTACATCATATGTCTGTAACGTCACTGTGATACCTACATCATGTGTCTGTACCGTCACTGTGACACCTATATCATGTGTCTGTACCGTCACTGTGACACCTACATCATGTGTCTTTACCGTCACTGTGACACCCTAATCAAGTGTCTGTGCCGTCACTGTGACACCCACATCATATGTCTGTACCGTCACTGTGATACCTACATCATATGTCTGTACCGTCGCTGTGACACCTACATCATATATCTGTATCGTCACTGTGACACCTACATCATGTGTCTGTAACGTCACTGTAACACCTACATTATATGTCTGTGCCGTCACTGTGACACCTAAAGCATGTGTCTGTACCGTTACTGTGACACCTACATCATGTGTCTGTACCGTCACTGTGACACCTACATCATGTGTCTGTACCGTCACTGTGACACCCACATCAAGTGTCTGTGCCGTCACTGTGACACCTACATCATGTGTCTGTACCGTCACTGTGACACCTACGTCATGTGTCTGTACCGTCACCGTGACAACTACATCATGTGCCTGTACCGTCACTGTGACACATACATAACATTGTCTGTACCGTCACTGTGATAACTACTTTATATGTCTGTACCGTCACCGTGATACCTACATCATGTGTCTGTACCGTCACTGTGACACCTACATCATGTGTCTGTAACGTCACCGTGACACCTACAGCATGTGTCTGTACCGTCACTGATGACACTTACATCATGTGTCTGTACCGTCATCGTGACACCTACATCATGTGCCTGTACCGTCACTGTGGCCCATACATAACATTGTCTGTACCGTCACCGTGACACCTACATCATGTGTCTGTACCGTCAATGTGACACCTACATCATGTGTCTGTACCGTCACCGTGACACCTACATCATGTGCCTGTACCGTCACTGTGACACATACATAACATTGTCTGTACCGTCACTGTGATAACTACTTCATATGTCTGTACCGTCACCGTGACACCTACATCATGTGTCTGTACCGTCACCGTGACACCTACATCATGTGTCTGTACCGTCACTGATGACACCTACATCATGTGTCTGTACCGTCATCGTGACACCTACATCATGTGTCTGTACCGTCAATGTGACACCTACATCATGTGTCTGTACCGTCACCGTGACACCTACATCATGTGCCTGTACCGTCACTGTGACCCATACAAAACATTGTCTGTACCGTCACTGTGACACCTACATCATATGTCTGTACCGTCACCGTGACACCTATATCATATGTCTGTAACGTCACTGTGACACCTATATCAAATATCTGTACCGTCACTGTGACACCCACATCATATATAGATCGGTACATGTAACCGGTGGAGATACATACTGATACATAGATCGGTAACCAGTGTAACTACATACTGATACATAGATCGGTTACCAGTGTAACTACATACTAGTACATAGATCGGTAACCAGTGTCACTACATACTGATATATAGATCGGTTACCAGTGTAACTACATACTGATACATAGATCGGTAACCCCTATATCATATGTCTGTAACGTCACTGTGACACCTACATCATGTGTCTGTACCGTCACTGTGATACCTACATCATATGTCTGTAACGTCACTGTGACACCTATATCAAATATCTGTACCGTCACTGTGACACCCACATCATATATAGATCGGTACATGTAACCGGTGGAGATACATACTGATACATAGATCGGTACGCAGTGTCACTACATACTGATATATAGATCGGTTACCAGTGTAACTACATACTGATACATAGATCAGTAACTCGTGTCACTACATCCACATCATATGTCTTTACCGTCACTGTGACACCTATATCATATGTCTGTACCGTCACTGTGACACCTATATCATATGTCTGTACCGTCACTGTGACACCCACATCAAATGTCTGTACCGTCACTGTGACACCCACATCAAGTGTCTGTGCCGTCACTGTGACACCTACATCATGTGTCTGTAACGTCACTGTGACACCTACATCATGTGTCTGTACCGTCACCGTGACACCTACATCATGTGCCTGTACCGTCACTGTGACCCATACAAAACATTGTCTGTACCGTCACTGTGACACCTCCATCATATGTCTGTACCGTCACCGTGACACCCACATCATATGTCTGTAACGTCACTGTGACACCTACATCATGTGTCTGTAACGTCACTGTGACACCTACATCATGTGTCTGTAACGTCACTGTGACACCTACATCATGTGTCTGTAACGTCACTGTGACACCTACATCATGTGTCTGTAACGTCACTGTGACACCTACATCATGTGTCTGTACCGTCAATGTGACACCCACATCATATGTCTGTACCGTCACTGTGACACCCACATCATATATAGATCGGTACATGTAACCGGTGGAGATACATACTGATACATAGATCGGTAACCAGTGTCACTACATCCTGATATATAGATCGGTTACCAGTGTAACTACATACCGATACATAGATCGGTTACCAGTGAAACTACATACTAGTACATAGGTCTGTTACCAGTGTAACTACATCATGTGTCTGTACCGTCACTGTGACACCCACATCATATATAGATCGGTACATGTAACCGGTGGAGATACATACTGATACATAGATCGGTTACCAGTGTAACTACATACTAGTACATAGGTCGGTTACCAGTGTAACTACATACTGATACATAGATCGGTGACCAGTGTAACTACATACTGATATATAGATCGGTAACCAGTGTAACTACATACTGATATATAGATCTGTAACCAGTGTAACTACATACTGATACATAGATCGGTAGCCAGTGTCACTACATACTGATTCATAGATCGGTAACCAGTGTCACTAGATATATAGATCGGTAACCAGTGTAACTACATCTACATTCTGATATATTGATCGGTAACCAGTGTTACTACATACTGATATATAGATCGGTAACCAGTGTAACTACATACTGATATATAGATCGGTAACCAGTGTAACTACATACTGATACATAGATCGGTAGCCAGTGTCACTACATACTGATACATAGATCAGTAACCAGTGTAACTACATTCTGATATATAGATCAGTAACCAGTGTAACTACATACCGATATATAGATCAGTAACCAGTGTAACTACATACTGATGTATAGATCGGTAGCCAGTGTCACTACATACTGATACATAGATCAGTAGCCAGTGTCACTACATACTGCTACATAGATCAGTAACCAGTGTAACTACATACTGATATATAGATCGGTAGCCAGTGTCACTACATACTGATACATAGATCGGTAACCAGTGTAACTACATACTGATATATAGATCGGTAACCAGTGTAACTACATACTGATATATACATCGGTAACCAGTGTAGCTACATACTGATACATAGATCGGTAACCAGTGTAACTACATAATAATTCATAGATCGGTAACCAGTGTAACTACATACTAATACATAGATCGGTAAACAGTATAACTACATGCTGATACATAGATCGGTAACAGTGTCACTACATACTGATACATAGATCGGTAACCAGTGTAACTACATAATAATACATAGATCGGTAACCAGTGTAACTACATACTGATACATAGATCGGTAACCAGTGTAACTGCATACTTATATATAGATCGGTAACCAGTGTAACTACATACTTATATATAGATCGGTAACCAGTGTAACTACATAATGATACATAGATCGGTAACAGTGTCACTATACACTGATATATAGATCGGTAAACAGTGTCACTACATACTGATACATAGATCGGTAACAGTGTCACTACATACTGATACATAGATCGGTAACCAGTGTAACTACATACTTATACATAGATCAGTAACCAGTGTAAATACATACTGATATATAGATCAGTAACCAGTGTCACTACATACTGATACATAGATCGGTAACAGTGTCACTATATACTGATATATAGATTCGTAGCCAGTGTCACTACATACTGATACATAGATTGGTAGCCAGTGTAACTACATACTGATACATAGATCAGTAACCAGTGTAACTACATACTGATACATTGATCGGTAACCAGTGTAACTACATACTGATACATTGATTGGTAACCAGTGTAACTATATACTGATACATAGATCAGTAACCAGTGTCACTACATACTGATACATAGATCAGTAACCAGTGTAACTACATACTGATACATTGATCGGTAACCAGTGTAACTACATACTGATATATAGATCGGTTACCAGTGTAACTACATACTGATACATTGATCGGTAACCAGTGTAATTACATACTGATACATAGATCGGTTACCAGTGTAACTACATACTGATACATAGATCGGTAACCAATGTAACTACATACTGATACATAGATCGGTAACCAGTGTAACTACATACTGATACATAGATCAGTAACCAGTGTAACTACATACTGATACATAGA